GGAGAAATGTATTTGCAAATCTTTAGCATAATTTTTAACTGATTTATCTTCATAATCATTTTTTATACTTTGCTTTAACAAGAATAATAAATAATGAAAGATGTGCTGAAAAGAGATGTCGATGTTGTTGTCAAAAGGTAAAATCACTTAAGGAACTGATGAAGTGCGTGTAATGCAGGCTGCTTTGAATCCTGCCTCTCCCTGCTCACCCTCTGAGCCTTTGCCTCACCTGTGTAAATCGCATCTGTGAGACTAGAAATACAGTATTGTAGATGAGACTTAGGGATTGATGAAGCTCCCGTTTGATGTCTGTCACATAGACATTGTTACTTCTAGCTAACGCTGTCTACTGATGGACACTCTAGTGTCTGTCCTAGTTGTCTAGTGCTAGGGTTGGAACTTGCGTGCAGATTTGACTCCAAAGCACTTGCACTTAGCCATCCGCATGCTGCTTTCTGATAATGGAAGCTGCCGTAACTCCCAATCACAAGAGCAGATCGTCAGCTCATTCCAAGAGACATGTGAGAAGATTGTAAAGAGGATTCATTGCTTAAATGAATCCAGACTGGCCAAGTTACATTTCAGGGTGCTGGGAAAACCTGCGGCTGAGAGCTCTGTGTCATCAGTGGTCACCTGTAATCCCCGTGACGTCAGCATGCTGATACAGAGTCAGGTGTCTTGACATCAGCCGTTTGGGACAAAGCAGTCAATTATGTAGTCATAAACAGGTTGAACATATAGGTTGTATAATCATACCATTGAGGAAAATTAGGGGCAGGGCTGGGTAGTAATACTAGAAGAATGTATAGGTGCCTTGGGAGCCCCGTGCCCCAGTATAGTGCTGCCGTAACAGGTGTGCTGAGATAGGTGGGATGCTGGGGTCGACATTGGATTTTAGATATAATGTGACACAGTCCAAGGGTATATAAGGGACTGATGTGTCACTTAAAGAAAAGTGAAGGGAGAGGAAGAGCCCACTTGGCTTTTTCAGTCCTTTTGGGTTTTTTGGTATTCAGAATAGTTAACCTAATCCTTTTTTTTTTTTTTTTAATTCCTTCTAGGATTAAGTTCAGTAAGCATGAGCCCCAGGTCAGGTTTAAACAATACCATCTTGAGTGTTTCTCCTCTGCTAGGATTGCTATGTAAGCACCATTTTAAATGCCCTGGTATTTCAAAGTGTGGGGCTTGAATCAGGAGACCTAGATGAAGTGATAATTATTCAGTAGTTCTAAATCCGGCGGTACATCACTTAGCCACCAAGCTTTAGATTTTCCCTCTGTTGTACAGTAGGGGTCAAAGTTGTATCAGCTCTTTCAACTGAGTCACAGGCAGAACTGACAGAAGCTGATAGAAATATTAATCTGAACTAGTGATTGATAAGGCTGAGGGCTGAACTTCTGTACCGTTGATGGGTCCGTACTGTTTTTTAACCTTTTTGACCTTTTCCTGTTTACATTCAAAAATACAAATAAAGCCAATAAAATTTTTCTTCATCCATTTTTATAGGCAGTTTTGCTTTTGGAAGTTCTAAAATACTTCTGTTTTCTGATAACCAAATACTTGGCTTCTGATGGTCTGAGCATTAGATACAACATGAACTTCCTTAAATTAACACCCTGTGATACAGGACTTGTCAGGCATCAAAAAGACAGAGGAGTTTAAAAAAATCTATTCAAGAATTTAAGTTGTCTAACTAAAATCACAAATGTCCACAGTTTTGTGATGGAAGGATGCTATCTTACCTCATTTGCACTCAATATATATTTGCAAAGTAGATAAAAGGCATTTCTTTTACACAATAAGATGCCAGTAGATTTCTAGTGCCCCAAAACAAAGTCAGTAGTAAAAGCAGCTCTTTCGAACGTGGAGTGAGGGTAGTCAGCTGGATTTACTGTTAAATCTCTGCTTTTCACTGAGCTGAAACACAGACTGAAAACCATTACGTGATACTCGGCTGACACTGGCACAGAGAACAGCATTGTTCAAGGGCATCGCTCTCCTCGGGATGAGCCAAGACTTTCCTGGGACTTTGTGACACAAACTGAATAAGCCTTCTCTGTATTAGCCGTCACAAATTATCTTTTGTCCTTCACCTTTTGAAAGCTTCCCAGATCTCCCTCTTCTAAGCGCCTGTAATGATGAGGAACGATTGTCAGGCCAGTGTGTCTGAGACAGAGAGAGGAGGAGGAAGTGAGAAAGAGTGGAACCCCAGAAGTGGGGAGGATTATTCAGCTTCTTGTGGGCTGTTTGGAAGAACTTTGGCTTTTGCTCAGAAAAGAGTCTGTTGAGGAGTTTAATAAAGGATGATGTGATAACAAGAAAGTCTGGTTTTGCTAGATGGAAGGGGAGGCAGGATGGGGAAGGGGTCAGAAGCAAGGAGACCTGTTAGGCAAGTTCAGTAGCCCAGGTGACAGACAGAGTGACAGAGTGACACACAGACACGCTAGGCAGACAGCCCTGGCAAAGGCAGCGAGTGACAGAAAAGACAGGCGCTTTGGGCAGTGGAGTAGGGCAAGAGCCGGGAAGGTCACTGGGCTTGGCAGCGCCAGCATCACCACCACCCTCACAGAGAAGTGGGCTGAGTGGCAGGACAGAAACCAGAGCACCCTAAGTGGAGAAGGGCCTGGGTTTGGCCAGGAGTGGGGCCCCCTCTACAGGTGTCTGCAGTGGGACCAGGCAGCGGGAGCCGCAGGGAAGAGCATGTAAACCACGGGCAGGCGGACGCACGCGCGTGGGCTGAGCAAGGGCCGGGGAAGCCTGCGGTGGAAGGATCCTCCGGAAAGGGCAGCTGAGGACGCGGCCTTGGAGGAAATAGGGTCCCCGACACGGGGCGGAAGTTGGAGGGCAACACCCCACCTCGGCAGGGTAAGAACAACTGAAACGAGGGTGGGCGCGTTGAGAACTTGAACAGAGGCGCGGACGTGCAGTGTCATGAGACACGAAGGGCGCAGCGGGGTGGCGCGTCCTGCCGTGCCCGTCGTGAACAGCAGCCTGCAGGCGTGTTCCCGCCCCAGAAGCTCCGCGAAGACCCAGGTTCCGTCTCCCAAGATTCGGAACCCACAGAGAGACTCGTGCGCGTGGGCGTTAGTGTACGGCGTGGTTTCCCGAAGTGTGGCTGTGTCCAGAGGCTGCCGGCAGGGGGAGCCAGCCAGCGGGGCCCTGGGGGCGGCTTTATTTTAACGGTTAGACGCTTTCGTGTCTATCAGAGGAAACGTTGCCGGACGGCAGACCCAGGACTTCCTGCTTAACCCAAGCATGAGGAAAGGTAGAGAGAGCAGTACGTGAACAGCAGAGGAATATGAGAAAGCTGTGGAACACTTGTGTTCTGGTGGCCACATGCAGGGTCAGTGGCCTCTCGCGGGCAGGTGCCGGCTGCCCTCTCGCAGCCCTGTGGTGCCAAGCGCCTGGCCTCCCTGCAAGCTCCCTGTCAGAACGGAACAAACTGCAACCCCCGGAGAAGTCCGCCATGTTGAGCGTGGTGGGGGCACTGTGATTGCATCTTGGCCCCAGACCTAACCTCGGCTTAATTCAATTTTTATTTTACGGAGGGTGTAATTTTCTTAATGCAGTTGGCAACGTGCAGAAAATAAAGCATCATCGCTAGATCAATCGGTAACCCCAAACCTACACAAGACAAAAACTCAAGGACGGTCGGGAAGAAATCGCCTTGCCAGGGCCAGCCTGGTCCACTTTTCTGGCTCTGACTTTGGCCACTGGTTCCCAGCCCAGCTGACTGGCCTTGACTCACCCCTCGTCCCAACTCTTCCTCCCCTGCCAGGAGTTGGCTCCTCCCCACTGCCCCCAGGGCCTCCGCACCCAGGAACAACCCTGCTGCATGGCCTTCCTGGTCCCCACCTGGCAGGCCTGGCTGGCTGCGCCCCCTGCTGTAATTCTGGGTGCCCACCTGGATTGCCTTTGTCTGAGGCAGGCATCCAGGGTATCACCGAGCCAGAGGCAAGTTCTCCGCCTCCTACTGGATGATTCTGGAATCATGTCATGTCACGGGTGGCCGTTCAGTTCACCACCGGCGTGTCCCTTGGACTCCCAGAGTCTCTATGGCTGGGGTCTGTCCCACACCAGCTTTGTACTTGTGGGGCAACGTGCTGGCTGGGAGCTGCTGGGTCCTCAGAATGTTAGGTTTTCTAACTTAGCATCTTGCTTTGAGCAAGCTAAAGAGAGGCCTCCTTTTTTTTTTGGTTTTGTTTTTGTTTTTAAGATTTATTTATTCATACAGAACTGGGGTACAGGCCAGAGATGTGGAGGGTGATAGGATTCACCAGAGACAGAGTGGGGAGCAGAACAGGCAGATCGACAAAGTACACTGCTGAGGGGAGCAGCGGGCGGGTCAGGAGAGGTCTGCCGCGCCATGGGGTCACCTCCGGGGCAGGCGGGAATCGAACTCATGCGGAAGTGGCTTTAGCTTCTTGGTACTGTGCTTTAACCCACTGCGCCACCAGGGAGAGAGAGAGAGTCCTCTGTTCTTTAACAGTAGCTCACAATAGTTTTGTTTTTTTTTTTGAATACTGGACCTAACCAGCATTTAAGAGATTAAATAACATAATGACCCACCGATAACTCATGACCTGTCTTTGGGGACACTGGTTTCTGTATTGTCTTAGTATCTCTGAAAATGTCTTGAGATGGAGAACCACATAGGTTCTGCTCAGCATGGTTCTAACGTCTTTGAGGCCATTTATGAAAATCCGCAATTCTGTCATTGCTACTTAGAAACTAGGACCACGTCGAGCCAAAATGTTGCAGGTGCTGCTGATTGCTGCTTTGGCCTCACGCGCAGGTGGTTAAGGCTGCTCGCAACAGGTGTGCACTGCTGCAGCGGTCCCAGCAAGCTCTGGAAAGCCCTGTGTGTGTGTGTGTGTGTGTGCACGCATGTGTTTCCTCCCAAGGTAACACTTGTACACCCAGCAGACCCCCGAAAAATGCCCATCTTTTACAAAGAGGACTTAAAAGAAGCTTTATCGCTCGCCTCTCTTTGTCTCTAGGGTGTGCTGATCTCCAGACCCTGGACACCATGCAGCCAACTGAGAGGAAGAGGCAGGGATACATCCACGAGCTCATTCAGACCGAGGAGCGCTACGTGGACGACCTGCAGCTGGTGGTGGAGGTGAGGGCCTGGCTCTGGCATCTCCTTCGGGAGGCCGAGGGGGCTCCAGGCTGGCATCGCCCCTCTCGTGCCTTCTGGGCCTCACCAGAGAGCTCCTCCCCCACCCCCAGGCCGTTCAGGGTGCATAGAGGGGACAACGGGCTCCCATGCCTCAGGGGATGTGGAGAAGCTCCTGAAGTACCAGGGCCTAGAGTAGGTGTGAGTCACCAAAGCCAGCTTTATCTGCCTCCGGTTTCCACCTCGCAGTTTGACCCCGACCTCCCGTAACTTCAGATTTCCGGAGGAGCAGAAGCGCCCACCTGACCTTGGCACAGTCTGGAAAAGCCAACAGTAGCACATTGCAACACACTCCCCACGGACCCCGTGTGCACTGTGTGTCTGTGCTTGTGAAGTGGGTGCCAAGCTGCAGGGTTAGGGCAGCACCATTCGGTCATTGGCATCTGAGGGAGCCAGTGTGACCACAGCACCACGCCACTTCGATTCCACCAATTTTAGTTCCCACCAGGTGTGCTCCAATGAGAACATCAATTAGATAAGCAAACCACCTGAGGAGAACAGGTGCGCATACAGGCTCCCAGGGGCGGCGCCCCCCATCCCCCCACTCGCCTCTACCGACTCCCCCCTCCCCCGGCCATGTGGATCAGGGGCTGTGTCCCTCTGCCTCTGGCCCGGCACCATGGTGCAGTGTCACGTTCTGCCTCATCACTGGGTCTGGGCTTGTCCCTCCCATCACATGGGCTGCTTGTCCCTCCCACACGCCCACCCTCCTAGACTTCCCAGTTGACAGTTATCTGTCATAAGATTTTGCACATCCCCCATCCTTCACCCCCAAACCTCAGCCTGGCTAATGCTGAAGGAACTAGGTCGGGCAGGAGGCCTAGAAGGAGAGGAGAAAAGCCAGCCCCCTCCTCTTCACTAACTCCTCCATGATCAGCCCTGGGGTCGGATCTCTGTGCCGAGGGGCTGTGAGAGGGTATGCAGCTACCTGGCGGATGCTGGCTCAGCAGAGCGGCCAGGATGCTGGCCTCACCTCAGGCCAGTCACTTAATCACAGTCTCAAGAGGCTCTTCTCACTGTGCCCACCCTCCTGGATGCTCGTAGGAAAGGGTCAGGGGTTTAGGATGAGCAGCCCTGTTCGTGGGCAAGCCCTCCTCGTTCCTTTCCCAAGTGTCTCCTCCGTTGACCTTGCCGAGGTTGACTCAAAGCAGGTTAAGAGAATGAGCAGACAGCAGCATAGCCAGCGAGTGCAAGACAGTAGGCCCTTGCTGTCCTCTGTGCAGAGCCCTCCCCCCCCCCCGCACTCTTCTAGGAGGGTCCTGGCGTCTGCAGGCCCATGTGGGCTGTGGAGAGGGAGAGATACCCAACTCATAGTACTGTTACCTGAGGTCTGACTCGTGGTGAACTCAACATGCCAGGCTCCGCGCTAGAGGACAGAGGCCGTTCCTGCCATGAGGCAGGAGAGACAGTTAACAGTTCCACGAGGTAAAGTGAGTCAGGGCTGGGACAGGGTGAGCTGGGCCCAAGACTTGTAGGACACGGGCTTCTACTCCCACTTAGCTAATGTCTTTCTTTTGTGTTTTGAATTTAGATTTTTCAGAAACGGATGGCTGAGTCAGGCTTTCTCACTGAAGGAGAAATGGCCTTGATCTTTGTTAACTGGAAAGAGCTCATCATGTCCAACACAAAGCTGCTGAAGTGAGTGTGAGGCCTGCAGTGGACGCCCCCCAGTCCAGCGCCCCACTGGCCCCATACTCTGCCCTGCGGGGCTGCCGAGCCCGGCATTCTGGCTGTGCCCCACCGCCTCCCTTTTTTTTTTTTTTTTTTAAAGATTTATTTATTTATGCATACAGAGCTGGGGTACAGGCCAGAGGCTCAGGGGCGGTGAGAGGCCTCACCAGAGACAGAATGGGGAGCAGAGCAGGCAGATCGACGAAGTACACTGCTGAGGGGAGCAGCGGGCGGGTCAGGAGAGGTCTGCCGCGCCATGTGGTCACCTCCGGGGCAGGCGGGAATCGAACCCATGCAGAAGTGGCCTCAGCCTCTTAGTGGTGCGCTTTAACTCGCTGCGCCACCAGGGAGGGCCACCGCCTCCCTTTTAACCACCATTTTATGATGGGCCTTGAAACTGTTAGGTACGTAATTACTGAAGAAAGTAAAGTAATACAACACAGAAAATACTTGGATCAAGCAAAGACGTTAGATGACTAAGCACACTGTCTTCGCGTACAATTCCAGAATGTGCTGGACTGCGTGGACCACAAGCCCAGCTCCTGACCCCAGCGTTACCAGTGTGGCTATCTCCTCGGTCTCCCCATGAACCCCTATTCCTGTACGGACAGGCTCCAGGGAGAGGCACCCGCTTGGGTGTCTCTGTGGGGCTCAGCAGCTTTCTGGGGACAGGCCCACCTCACCTCCATGCCTGGCCTCTGTGGACTCCTGCCCCCCCCCTTTTTTTTTCTACAGAGTATGGGAAATTTCTTTCTTTTCGGTTCGGCCAAGAATAAGTTAGAATCTTTCAGTAGAAATGTTGCCAAAAACTCAGGTGAAGCCACAATAACTCCAGAGCCTAGAAACACCCATTCTTCCTCACTAACACTTCACGCAGGTGGGCTTGGCCCGCAGAGCTTGAAACCCAAGCTGCCTTCTGCTGACGTCCCGCACGGTGTGGTGGTCTGGAGGTAACTCCATAGCCGTCGTTGCTGCTAGTCTCTCCTGAGGGTCACCCTTCCTTGACCAGGGACCTTCAGGTAAAACCAGAAGTGAGAGAGCATGTCGGTTGCAGGGCCCTGCGGGTGCGGAAGAAGACTGGGGGTGAGAAGATGCCGGTGCAGATGATGGGGGACATCCTGGCCACGGAGCTGGCCCACATGCAGGCTTACATCCGCTTCTGCAGCTGCCAGCTTAATGGGGCAGGCCTGTTACAGCAGAAGACCGATGAAGATGTGGACTTCAAAGAGTTTTTAAAGGTACCTCTGGTACAGGCACCTCTGTATCGCGACTGGGACTGGGGCGACCTTGGGAGCTACAGGCCAGGCAGTCAGGGAGCAAAGCGGGGAGACAGTTTCCAAAGGGAACAAACCTTGCGAGGAATTTTCTGCTTGCTCTCTGTGACCTTTATGTTGAACTGCTCGCCTAAGAGCAGACCGGTTTTTTTTTTTTTAAACCTGCTTAAGTGAGTCAACTTCTCAAACTCCTGAAAAAAGCATTCAGGATGTCACTTTTTTAATTTAGTAAATTGTGTTGTGTGTTCATTCCAGAAAGAATAAAGCAGGTTGCTTACATGTATAAAATGCAACAAGGTAAACTAAAGTTTGAAAGTAAATAGATGAATAAAAGCGGATAAGAGGAAATGAGGCAGGGACAATGGGGGGTGGGGTAGGTGGGGGGATGGGCAAGGCAAACAGGTGTCAGCAGTGACCCTGGGCAGCTGGGTGCAGGGCCTGCTGCCGCCTCAGCCAGAGAGTTAGAAGAGGAGACTTTTGAGGGAAGAAAAGGACTTCATTTGGGGCTGTGTTGAGACTGGGGGGCCTTGACGATGAGCGAGAATACTGCAGCAGGTGGGGGGCTCCAGAGACTGTCGGGGTCCACTGCAGGGGTCTTGGGTGGCACCTACAGTAAGTGTGAGTAGAGGGGGAGGAGGAAGTGAGGAACCTGGGGGGAAGACACCCCAATAGGTGGCTTTGGAAACAAAGGAGGGGGTGATGGCACAGGCCACCCATGCACAGACGAACAAGCAGACACCTGCAGGTCTGGCCTAGTGTGGGGAGGTTGTCGCTGTAACCTGAGTCTGTGAAAGAAACCAGAAGGTGGGAGAACCCAGGAGTATGACCTGGTCGCCCGTCTTACTGGATTCCCTCTCCCGCCTCTCCTTTCTTTTCAGAAGCTGGCATCTGACCCTCGATGTAAAGGGATGCCCCTTTCCAGCTTCCTGCTGAAGCCCATGCAGAGGATCACACGCTACCCTCTGCTCATCAGAAGTGTGAGTGCCAGTCTGGGACAGAGAAGCAGTCACAGGGCGGGTACCTGCCACGGGGTCTGACTCATCCCAGGTCACTGGGTAACCTGTCGCCTTCTCAGGAGACCTCCAGCCTCTCCTGGCCGGAGAGGCCCTCCAGGTCTGTGAGCAAGGCGGAGCCCACCCATAGCACAGCTTTAGCTCCAGTCTTCCTGGAAGATCAAGTCCATCTGTCAACTCAACACTTTATACACAGCCCAGCATGTCCCAAACAGCTGTCCCCTTGCCATGTCCCACGCCAGCTGGCTGACCAGACAGCCCTGAAGGTCCATGCATCTTTCTGACATAACCGATGTGGGCCTTTCACCCTGATATGCTTTCTAAGGAGAAGGTAGATTTTCCACAGATAATCACTGACATAATTTTAAGCGCCTTACAAAGTAAAATACAGTAGAAATAAGGCTTTGAAAATTATCCCTTGCCCAATCAAAAACAGTGGGGGGAGGGAAATGCACTGGACTATGGTGATGGCACACGGGTGATTTGGTGGTGGGAAGCCCACGGGTATTAAAACTGAGATGAAAAAAATGCACAAAATGATGTAAAAATAAACTATTTTTTTTAAATATATATATATATGAATCTGAAAAATAAAAAATAGATAAGGACACACACATTGCCAAGTTCCTATCAACTGAGCTGCCATTGTTATTAATCATTATAATAATGGCTCACTCACAAGAGGTATTACCTGACATGCATTGATTCAGTGAATTACCAACTGCAAATGGAGAGGCCACAATAATAACAGATGTAGGGGAAATAGATAAGTCCCTTTCCATCAAAAAAAAAAAGTATTCCTTGCCCTTTGGTCTGTAAGTCACGTTAACCCAGGACAGGCCTCACGTCGCAGACGCTCATCCCAAACACACCCTCTCGCACACAGACGTGGTCCCGTATCTGTTTTTAGTTAAGAGCAAGTGTGTGTTCGTGTGCAGATTGTAATTCCAGAACGGTAAGACACCCCAAGAAAGCCTGGGCAACACCTTTAAACAAATACAAAAATATGAACAGCCACTGAAAACAGAATAAATAGTACCTCTCTTCAGTTCAGGTTTTGCCACCAAATGGGTACTGAAAAAACTTGAGCTTTTCAGGCCTTCTCGCACTTGGAACGTGACAACAGACAGCTGCCTGTGGGAGCCCCCCCATTTCTGGAGGAGCCACACACTGTGCAGCGCTTACGGCCACCCTGCGCCCGAGTCACTGTTCCCCAGGAACTGCCTCGCCACAGGCAGAGCCCAGGGCCTGGCCGCCCCGTGTTTCCAGCTCCCGGCCCAGCCTGCACACCAGGACAGCACCAAGGAGGGGGGTTGGAAGACGCGCACCCCACATGACCAGGTCCTCCCTTTCAGATTCTGGAGAACACCCCAGAGACCCACGTAGACCACTCCTCCCTGAAGCTGGCCCTCGAGCGGGCAGAGGAGCTTTGCTCGCAGGTCAACGAGGGGGTCCGGGAGAAGGAGAACTCGGACCGGCTGGAGTGGATCCAGGCGCACGTGCAGTGTGAGGGGCTGGCAGAGGTGAGGCTGCGTGCAGAACCCGGGCCAGGTCCCCCTGTGGCTGCGAGCAAAGCTCCCCCCACCCCAGCCCCTGCTCCCCTGCCCTCCCCCCACCCAACCCGTGTCATCTTCCTTTCGTGTAGAGAGAGATCGGACATTTGCGCTTCGAGCGCTGTGGATGCAGCTGTAGAGCGGCTGCTGTCCGGGCAGGACAGTCTCCCAGCTGCGCTCCTGAGCGATGTGGGCGGTCCTGTGTGGGGGTGATGATTTCAGCCTCGTTTCCAACGGGAGCACCGAGCACCGGCCCCAGTACCCTCTGGCCAGGGCGCTGGCCTCTGGGCTCGGGGTGGTTTTTTCCCGATTCACAATGGCACGATGTCTTTCTCTTTAAGCAACTTATTTTCAACTCCCTCACCAATTGCCTGGGGCCCCGGAAGCTTCTGCACAGCGGGAAATTGTACAAGACCAAGAGCAACAAGGAGCTTCACGGGTTCCTCTTCAACGACTTCCTGCTTCTCACCTACATGGTCAAGCAGTTTGCGGTCTCCTCGGGCTCCGAGAAACTCTTCAGCTCCAAGTCCAACGCTCAGTTCAAAATGTATAAGACGGTGCGTGTCAGTCCCAGCAGGGGCCTCAGGACACAGCCAGGCACCGCGTTTCCCCCAGGCCGCCCTCCAGCACCAGCCTTTCCTTCCTCTGGGGACGCCCCCCTCTTCCAGAAGGCTCACACGCCCCTTCCAAGGGTGAGGCCCCAGGTGGCTGGGCCTTCACGCCCTCTCTGTTGGCGCCCAGCCTATGCCCACTCTAGGCCTGGCTCCTTCCCTGGCACGAGGACGCATGTCCACATCCAGCATCAGGCCCTCTGCTCATGCCAGGGCGCCAGGCTCTGTGCACCAGGTGGGGCCTGTCTCGTGAGCAGTGCTGGGCACTCGGGGCTCCTGTCCCCAGGTCAGGGACGTCAGTCAGCCCCCGCTGACTGCACAAACTGGAGGCAGTTTCCTTTTTCCTGAGTAAACGACTCTAGGCCTCTCCCCAAGACCTTCCAGAGCAGACAGGACTCTGGGTGTCGGCCCTGGAGCGACTCACGGCCTGCTTCGGCCCTGTTTCTTTCAGCCCATTTTCCTGAATGAAGTCCTGGTGAAACTGCCCACCGACCCTTCCAGCGAGGAGCCAGTCTTCCACATTTCTCACATCGACCGAGTTTACACACTCCGAACAGACAACATCAACGAGAGGTCAGTCCTGACACAGTCACCTGCCCTGAAGTGCAGGAGAAAGCCGCTGCCGTGAGCCCACTGGCACTGTGCGCCAGCCCCTCAATTCCCCAGCCCCAGCCTCTCCTACCCAGGCCCCCGCGCCCACACCTAACACCTCCCTGTCCTAGTCTGTGGCCAACATCTTCCCAGACGGCAGGTCCCGCCCTCACTTCCTCTGATGCCTCTGGCTTCCGAGGCCCTGCTCGAGCCTCTCGGCCTCAGCCCCTGCCCAGACCCCTGCAGGAACATTCTGTGGCCAGACTTTGCTCCCAGTCCCTGGGTGCAGGCCACCCTCCTCCCTCTCACCCTCCAGGTGTGGCTGGCAGCATGCTCCTCCCCTGTGGGTCTCTGCCGCCGACCCTGTCTCCCCCCCGTGAGCTGCATCACCCCCTGTGTGCCCAGCATCTTGCAGGGGTTCTGGGGTTTGTTAGTCATCAGGATCTGTCTAGAAATTCTGTCTTCACTTAGCAGAGCCTTTCAGCTGAACTAGTATTAGGTCTGTGATTGAAACGCGTTGCCCCGGGGTAGGCAGGCTGTAGGCTCCGGGTGCCCTGAGGGGGTAGGGTGCCATCGCGCGTGCTCTGCTCCCCTCAGGACTGCCTGGGTCCAGAAGATCAAGGCCACGTCCGAGCAGTACATCGACACGGAGAAGAAGAAGCGGGAGAAGGCTTATCAAGGTAGCTGGGGGGCCTGGTGGGCCCGGGTGGGGTGGGGGGAGCTGGCCCTCGGGACACATGCTGCTGCTCCTGCATGTGGCGATGGGGCACGTCTGGCCGTGACAGGCTAGACTCGGCCTTGAAGGAGCCTGGTTTGGCCCCTGCTGCCCCCTCCTGCCCCCTCACCTGAGTCAACCTTCTGGACCTCCCTGACCGCCTCCCCCACCCACTACACAAACGTCACGTGGCCCAGAGAGAACTCCGGGACCTCCCTTCCCACGTGGCTCCCTGTGCTTCCTCCCGGCACACTCATCCTTCACCCGCTTCCAGGAATGGGTCCTTCTGTGCGCACCCAGCCCCATCTCTGCTCAGTCCATGTTGTTCCATCAAACGTCCCTCTGACCTGTTTCCCTTCAGCTCACAATCACTCTGCCCCATTTCCTCCACACCAGCCTCTGTCCACGCCCTGAGATCCACCTGCACTCCCTGACCAGGCTCTGACTCCAAGTTGCTCCTTCCCACTGGCTCACCAGCCTCCATCCCATGCCCTCGCTCAGTGTGCACGGCTCGTTCTCATTCTCACACGTGGTGACCTGACCAGGGCCTGGCTCCCTCTCCCTCCGGGGCTCCCTCTGTGCCTTCTGCCAGGAGTCAACACCCCTTCTCCCTGCTTGCTCTCCCTCTCTGACCCCCAGAGTGTTCCTACACCAAATCGTTTGCCCTCCCTCTCCTGGGAGTTCTGGCTGCTGCCTCCCACGCCCCTCTTCTCATCAGGTCACTCTCCAGAGGGATAGCGCTCCCCCCTTCTCCTGGACACCCTACATAAAATGCTGTCTCCAGTGGGACGCATTGCCGCCTTCCCCAACTAACTCCTCCTCGGAGAATCTCTGTGAGCAGCAGTCTTGTCCTCATCCACCAGACTGGACACAGGCTCTCTGCCCCCCCACAACTGCCCCTTCAGTCCCTTGCCGACCCCTTGACTTCTCCCCACTGTCAGTCCCCACTCGCCTAATCCTTTCCTTTCCCAGTGATGTGGCCCCATTAAGACCCTCAGTCCCACCCTCCCTGGTGCGCAACGGGTTAGGACACAGCACCGCAAGCCGGCCGCAGCCGCTTCAGTGCGAGATCGATCCCCGCCCCAGCGGTGACCCACATGGCGCGGCAGACCTCTCCTGTCTCCCTACTGCTCCCCTCAGCAGTGTGCTTTGTCAATCTGTCTGTTCTGCTCCCCACTCTGACTCTGGTGAAGCCGCTGATCACCCCTGCACCACTGACTGGTACCCCAGTTCTGTATGAATAAATAAATCTTATTTAAAAAAAAAAAGGGAGCGAGACCCTCAGCCCCCTAGACCACAAACAGTTCGTTGATGGGGGATTCCCCTTACAGGGCCTCGCTTAAGCATCTTCCCTGTTGCCTCCTAGACGTAGGACACGTTTCTTATCAGCCAACTTCCTCTCTTGCCTGTGCCCAGCCCTGACTGCCGGGTGCCGCTCAGGCCGCCACGCCCCTGCCGGGCGGGGCCTGTGGGAGCCCAGCCCCCTTCCCAGCAGCCCTTGCGCTCTTTGGGCTGCCGCTGCTGCAGCTCTTTATGTTTTTTTATTCAGGTTTCCCTTGTTTTGTTATAAACTCCTGAAAGGTATGTGTACATCAGCTGTGCTAACTGAATCTTGTTTTAACGGAACCTTAAAGGCTTGCTACTGAAAAATCAGTGATTGAATCATCCATAAAGCATATAATGATCAGCAGAAGATATGAATCAGTTTTTCTATGTCAGTTTGGCCTAACACCATATCTGTACGTTTGTTTTGTATTTTCTACATGTTCAATCCTTTGGGCATTTATTGATCACTTACTCTGTGCCAGGCCCTGTGCTAGTCTTACCAGGCCCTCAAAGATGGCCTGTTCCAGCCTTGCGGGGGACCTGAGGTGGGCGTGAGGGGGGCGATGGGCCACGTCTCTTAGAAAAGCTTCCGTTTGCCCCAAGATTTGAAAAACCAGTAGCACACCACACGTCCTTTTTGTTAGCTTTTAATGTAAGTAGGGCAAACCTACTTACATTACTTCAAACCTCACAAGATAGTGTGAGTTCCTGCTCCATTTCTCTCCACATTAAGAAAGTGTTTTTTGAGTACCTCCTGCAGTGGAAGAAGGCCTTGAGTCAAACTGCCTTACAAGCTGATGCTTACATATCATTGGGATCTGGTGAGAGGTTCAGAAAAGACTTCGGTGTCTGCTGTTTACATTTTGACCCCGCCACTGAGAAGCATGTGACCGGAGCATGTTACAGGCCCTGTCAGGACTCCACTTTTTCATGTACGGGAGGCGGCTTAAAAGAGCTGCCCTACGAGGAAATTGTGCGTTTCAAGTATTGTGACTTACGCAAAGGGCCTAGCACATGCCTGACACGAAGGAAGGATGCAATAAATGTTACCTGCTTTTAAATGCTAAATGAATATAATGCATTATTATTTTATTAATGCCAGTATTTGTTAGGCAAATACAGGGATGAAGAACACGCCGCTGGCGCTTCCTGGCAGAGCAGACAGGGTAGCACAGCATTTCAGGCGCAGCACGCTGGGGACGCTCTAAGCCAAGCACTCGGATGCACGGAGGAGGCGGGGGGATATTGCAGCGGGTTGAGATGGGACCCACATCTCAAAGGATAGCAGGATGCTGATGAGTGCAGGTCAGGGGCAGGGCCTGGCAGGCCACACAAGCTGGGTGCTGGCTGGCCGGTGACAGGTGAGGCTGGCGAGTGTGAGGGCTGGTCAGAGGGACAGGCCGTGAGGATCTGCAGCTCCTCATCACCCCCTCTCCGCATCCCCAGAGACATGAACACTCCTGTCTTCTTCTTTCCTAGCTCGCTCTCAAAAGACTTCTGGCATTGGGCGTCTGATGGTGCATGTCATTGAAGCAACAGAATTAAAAGCCTGCAAACCTAACGGTAAATGCTACTTTCGTTCAACAGGGGGGTTAACTGCCCCGCTCTTGCTAATGACTCTGGGCACCGGATATTGGGTTACTTTTTAAATGTGTTTCTAGTGCCTCTGGCAAGGTTGTTGGGCTGGTGTCCTCCCCACTTGGTTTCCCCAGTAAGTACCGGGCCTCTTTCCTCTGTGGTTCTGAGTGGAGGAAGCATGAAGCAAGCTGCACGGACACTTCCCCAGGACTGTGGGGGACAGTCCTGTGGTTGAATGCACTCGGTGGCCAGCACAGGGAGCAGAGAGGCCAAGAGGCAGCCGGGAGCACCACGGCAGCAGCCCTTGGCCTCTAGAGAAGCGCCCAGTGGGGTGCAGCTTCTGCTCAGGGAAGGCCCTTCTGTCAGCCTCTCACCTACACTCGCCTCCTATGTCTTTTGTTTTTGTTCAGGAAAGAGCAACCCATACTGTGAAATCAGCATGGGCTCCCAGAGCTACACAACCAGGACACTCCCGGACACACTAAACCCCAGGTGGAATTTTAACTGCCAGTTCTTCATTAAGGATCTTTACCAAGATGTGCTGTGTCTCACCATCTTTGACAGAGACCAGTTTTCACCAGATGGTAAAGTATAGCTCAGCCAGGGCGTCGAAGGTTCCCCAGTACTGCTCTAGAATCGAGATCTGGGTCCAGAGGGCTCGGCCTTACTTTCACCTCACCTGCTGGAGCCTCCAGGCTGTGGTGAGCAGCAGCCCACACAGGCAGCAGCTGGGGTGGTCTTAGGCCTCTTGAGGTGTGTTAGGTCCTCGGCCCCATGTGCACACACTCAATGGGGTTTCGGGGCTCCGGGCCCCTGCTGAGGGGCAACCTTCCCTGCCTGAGACTGGGATCCAGGTAGGCAGTCTCCCAGCGGTTTATCTGTAGCCCTTCCTCACAGCCTCACACCGCAGCAGCAGTCTTTAGCCAGAACACGTTGCTGGTTCTGGATTTGAAAGTCTTGTGAATCCTGTTTCGGACACTTCTCTCATGGCGGTAGTTTTTCTTTTCTTCTTCTTCTTCTTCTTCTTTTTTTTTTTTTTAAAGATTTATTTATTTATGTATGCAAGAACTGGGGTATAGGCCAGAGACGTGGGGGATGAGAGGATTTTCACCAGAGAAAGTGGAGAGCAGAACAGGCAGACTGACTGAAACACATTGCTGAGGGGAGCAGTGGGCGGGTCAGGAGAGGCCTGCTGTGCCATGAGGGTCAGCGCCCTGACCGGAAATCGAACTCGCGCTGCAGTGGCTGCAGATCACTTTATAGTGCTGCGCTTTAACCCGTTGGGCCACCAGGGAGGGCCCAGTTTTTCATACAGTTGTATAAAGTAGATGACTTCTGACTAAAACATCTGTTCTCCAGATTTCCTGGGCCGCACTGAAGTTCCATTGGCAAAAATCCGAACAGAACAGGAAAGCAAAGGCCCTACGACGCGCCGGCTCCTGCTGCACGAGGTCCCCACGGGGGAGGTCTGGGTCCGCTTTGACCTGCAACTCTTTGAGCAAAAACCTCTTCTGTAGGAGCCTTAGGGATCTGCCCGCCCACCCAGGGCTGGAGACACGCAGCTACCGGCACCCCCCGGGAATGAAGAGCATCCCCGGCTTCACGCATCACAGGGCCACGCACGCTGGGTCCCCTATTTTATTGCACACTAAATTGCTAGCGATCTATGCAAACATGATCTCTTCTTATAAACCAAACCCCACAGCACAGTGCCTTGTATTAGCGTTAACACGTTGGGCTGTGTCTGGATGCCAAGGTTTCCATCTTCAGGGCTATAAAAGTATTATGTGGAAATGAGGCATCAGACCACCAGACGTGACCACTGGTTGCACGTGTCCCCGTAGGTGGCTTGGGTGACGCCCACCACGTGACCCCTGTGGTCATGGCGGGTGAAGAGTTGGAAGACATGCTGCAGGCGGGGTGCGGGGGCAGCCTGCTCCGGAGAGTGTGTCTGCTCGTGCACTGAATAAAAAACAAACTTGATCATTTTATTTCTGATTAGATTTTATCATTCTCTGCTGAGACAATAAAATTTGAAACCTAAGGGAAAGCTTGATTTACTTTAAATACTGTGAATTCTAAATGATGTGGAAAATATTTTTCAACCTTTAATTTTCTGAGGTATAATTTATTTATGTAAATTCTTGTTTTTGCATATTTCATAGGACATGCATCTTTAAGCTTTGTCATTGCCAATATGTACAGAAGAATAAAAATATGTTTATGAATGAAACTTCTTGCAAAATCTTGACTGATTTACTTTCTACTCAAAGGGCTGCTTAGGCTAAAGCTAGATTTCCTTTCTGCGGTAACAAAACAAACCAAGAGCAGGATTGGGGGGTGAGCTCAGGAGACCCCCCACCTTGACTGCCTGTGATGCCACCTAATGTTGATGGGGCTGTTTCTTTGGTGTCACTCAGTGAAGTCTCTGTGGGTCTCTAGGCTGAACCCTCTAGAATCCTGTGCCCGGCTGGCTGAAGAGAGGCCTCAGGGTCACTCAGAATAAAGAAAACACACAAGCAGAGTCCATCAGTGCAAGCTGCCCCTGCCCCGCTCCAGGAGCACTGTCCACTCTGTCCCTGCGAAGTCACGTCCACCCAGTCAGGGCCGCTGATTCAACCCCTGCGTTGAGAAGTATGAGATTTGCCCTGAACGCTGATAAAGATAAGGTTCCCTACATGAAATCCCTGGTTTTGTGAGCCCCGCACGGAAGAGACCGGCCGTTTGGAAGAACGGCTCTGGCTGCTGGAGCCACTCCCCAAGAGCCGAGGCCCAGGGCCCACCACAGCAGCCACGCCGCGCTAGCAAGCCCTGAGCAAAGACTGGCTAGGACACCGGTCCGAAAAGTTCCTCACTTAAGTCACTCCGGCCTCCATCCGGGGCACTGGCTGGTGGAAACGCACAGCCCCAGCGTCTGAGGAAGAGTCTGCACTCAGGAGCTGAGAGCAAGACAGCTATGGCAGCCAGGCACACCTCGCTGGGCAAAGCACTCCCGGGCTTTTGAAGGGTTTCAGGAGAGTCTGGGTGCGTTAGGCAGGCAGGGTGGGCTCACGCCGCGAGCCACCTCAAGCTGCTCACTCAAGAGCACCAGGCTCCACGCGGCCAGGCGGGCTGAAAGCAGTTCTGGGGCTGCCTGTGACCTCAGCTCCAGGGTCACCATCGGAACAGTCCTGGGACTGCAGGGACCTGCTGGAGTGAGCTGTGGCCAGGGCCGTTTCTCCTGGCTAGATGCGTGGGGATTCTCTGCAGACAGGAGGAGGAACCCGCAGTGTGTCAGCGCGCACCAGACTCGAGGCGGGTTAATGTTCTCCCAGCAACTCTGGCCAACCCTTGTGACTGGGCACACGGCTCTGCCCCTCAGTATGTCAAGGTCTCCTGACTTTCTGAAGGCTTGTTGGGGTGTGGGGGGCCTTGGGCCACATCTATCCAGGGGGAAGGAGGGGAGGAGCGGGCAGAGGGAGGACCTCAAGAGGGTCCTGCCAGCTCTTCAGCACCAGGAAGGGCCAGCTGGCCAGAGGGCAGCTCCGTCCTCTGGAAGCGAGCCCAAGCTCTGAGCCGCTCGGCTAAGCTTACAAGGCCTGAACGCATGGGAGGAGGGGGTGGACCCTGGGGAGGTGCGTGTGCTTTGGCCCAGAGGGCCTGAACTTGAAGTAGAAGACTGCCACTTTCAAGTTCTGCAATTGATTTGAGTAATTCACCCAGCCAACTGAACCTCATGTCCTGGGAGATAATTCTATGTTGCTGTGAAAAGTTTTATTTATTGAGGGGGGGGGTGATTTTTTCTTTTAATGCTGTGAAAAGTTTTAAATGGATATAAAGTACCTTGCACAGGTCCTAGTGCACACCAGGAGCTTGATAAACAGTAACGATTATTATTTTGCTATTTCTTGCATTATTTTTTCATTTCTGAAGAGAGAATACATGCTTGCAATTTCTTAACTGTTGCAGCAAAGCGGAAGTTCAGGGAAGCTTGCATTCTTGCTGGCGGGCACCCTGACAGGTGGTAGCGTGCCTGCTGTCCTGCATGGCCCCCAGCTGCAGGGAGGCCAGATGCTGCCCCAGCACCTCTGCAGTCATCACCCTTCTCTCCACGGGCTTCGACCCCCAGCGATACCCACTTTCCCCGGCAGTCCAGGATCTGGGTCTTTGCTGTCTGGCTCCTACAACCTACAAAGAGAACTGAATGTTGGGGAGGAAGGCCCCAGCACAGCCTGACTCTCCCCTCCTGGGGAGACCTTCCAGGTTGGTGAAAAGAGAAACCAGAAGCTCCACTGAGCCCCCAAGCCACATCACCAACTGGCGACCAACCATCTCCAAAGCTCAGGCTTCGGGACGCTCAGAGGAGACGCGGGAGAAACAATCCAGAGCGGCGGCCATGGCAGCCTGAGTGTGAGCCCCAGCAAGGAAGCTGTGCAGGGCATGACACAGTCTGTGTCAAACGCCTTTTTAAATTAATTACTTCATTAAAATAATGCCTCTTCTAGATCCAAAAATCATTGCTTTTTAGTCTCAATTTCATTTCCAAAAGGTTTTGGTTGGAATGAAAAGCAGCCACTGGTAGAAAAATGGCAGAAAAGCAAAAGCTCAGAGATAGAGGGGAGGAAATCGCAGTGAGCAGATCCGCGATCTGGCCCCCCATCTCCTTTTTCGAGTTTCTGCCAGAGGGGTGCTGTCTGCACAGCGCCCTGAGGCCAGAGGCAGCCCCACCACCCCTGCTAAATAAATTCTCCTGCCTTGCCTTTTCGCTTCCTTCTCTGGTTACCGCCCGGCTGCTGCCCTCCAGGTCTGGCTGGAGGGAGAGACTCTTCAGGGCCCTCTTGCTATCTTGCGGGTGCTGTGAAACTAGCAGCCACGCCCAGCAAACCCCAGATCTCTGCTCACCAGAACCTTCTTCTTGTCCCTTTTATTCCCTCGGTTGAGCTTCGAGGAATAAAACTGCCTTTCAAACGCAGACTGACTTAAGTCGGTAGTTTGTTTCTCTTTATTGGGCAGGTATTTCTTTTCTGTGCACATAATCTTGTCAGGACTGCAAAGAAAGTAGAAAAATATTTACTTACTACAAACAGAAGTAGACCACTCAATAACTACCTTAAGATTAATTTTTGTGAACTCAATATTCTATGAAAAGCCTGAATCGGCATCACTTGGGGGCTGTCAGGCAGTCAGTGCACCCCTTCATGCTCCTGTTGGACATCCTTGGGCAAGTGGTGTGTCTTGCCACCCTTCTGCTGTGGGTGAGGCATGTAGCCCAGGGCCTCAGTCCCTACAGGTGCTGTTCTCCTGCTGGGCCTCCTGGCAGGTGGGGAGGTAGCCTTGTTCTCAAGACCTCCCTCTCCCTGATGGGCAGGTGAAGCCGTGCACTTAGAATGGGTTCCCTAGTGCTGGCCAGGGACCCTCCAGGCCCCTGAAGCAGACTCCTCATCCCCCAAAAAAAACTTACTTGAAATGGGCCAAATAAAATGTTAGAACTACAAGAATAAAGCAACTGAAAGTGAGAACCCAATGGATAGGTTTAACAACAGGTTTCTAGGCACCAGTTAGAGGTAACTAAAATATCTAGAATCAAAGATAGAATGAAGAAGGGATGGAAAATACACAAGAAAGGAAAGAGACAGAGTGGATACAGGGAGAAAAGCTAAAATACATTTAACTGGAGTCCCCGAAAGAAGAGAGGGTGAGTACGGCAGAGGTTAGCCATCAAAGGAAAAATGACTGGAGACTTCCCAGAACTGATTTAAGACATCACTTTCCAGCTACAGGAAGACCCATGAGTTCCAAGTGGGGTAAATAAAAAGAAATCCACATGTGGAAACGCCGTGTAAAACTACCAAAAATCAAAGCCAAGAAAATCTCTGAAGCTTCCAAAAAAGACAGTTACCATCAAAGGAACGACAGCAAGCCTGGCAGCTGCTTTCTCAAATGGAGTGAAAGACCATAGGATGGATGCTGAAAGAAAGCTGCCAGCTCGACATTCCTGATCCCATGTAAACATCCTGGAAGAAACTGACCTCCGCAGAAAGCTCTAGCCTCTGTGGTGCAACTCCATGCGGTTCTGCAAACGGGCAGCTGTCAGCAGTTACCTGTGCTTCTTGCTGTGAGCTCTCTGGCCTGCCACCCTCTCCGAGGCCTTGTGCCTCTCCTTTGGGCTCACACTGTGCAGCGTGAGCGTGAACTTGGGCAATCTGGCAGCCAACCTGGCCTTCTCCATTTCTTGAAATTCTTTTAAGGTATAGTGTTTTCCTACAAGAGAGAAAACCTAGGTCAGCTCTCAAAGTCAGCTCCACTCACCTAGGAAATCACTGAACTACTAGACGCCTCCAAGTGGAAGCCCAGGCATCCCAGGGTACCTGTCTCATATTGAAGAACGGCTCTCTTCTCTTTATCCAACGCTTGCTGTCTTTTAAACAGAGGGTCACAAAATGGTGGGACTGTAACCTACAAGAAAAGTGACTTTGAGGACCTTGGCCGAACCTGTATTAAGCTTTTTTTATTAATCTATCCGAAGCATTCAGCTATGGCCCGACTGCCCACCGTGTGAGGATAAGACCCTTGACCAAAGTGATCCCCCAGGGCAGGGCTACCTGTCACCACTTGGTATTAGGGTATCTCACTGGGTTGAATGGAGGGAGGAGAAGAGACATTTATCATTTGTAAAGCGTTCCACTGTATCGTTGCCCACGGAGCAGTGCACAATGCTTGCTGATGCTATGTGGGCATAGCACAATAATGCCAAGAATAAACAGAAGCGCCACCTGCCCAGGCAGTGAGGCACGGAGAAGAGAAGGGCCTCTCCAAAAGTGTCCGGTGGGCCGGGCGGAGGCGCCGGCCGTGTGGACCCTAGGGCCATGTGGAGGCATGGGGCCATTGTTTCCCCGCCCAGCTTTCCTTGCTGGCCCCAGTCTGCCCATGGCTTCAATTTTGAAATTACAGAAAGATCCAGAAGGAGGAAAGGTGCTGTTCGGGGGAGGAGGAAGAGGGGAAAGACCCTAGAAAGAGGAGGCAATGCCTTTACAGCTGAAAAATCCCAGATTGAGACAGAAAGCAAGAACAAAATGCAACGGCAGGCCTCACACGGGAAGGCAGAACTTCCTGACGGTGAAAAGCCAGTGTCTGGCTGCTCGCAGTACAGCAGGATCCGTGTGTATCCGAGTCTGCACCCGAGTCACCTCACCTCACATCACGGGGAACCAGTCCCCAGGGCTCGCAGGTGCACTCCAGAGTGCGCTTCCCATCTTTCAGTTAAGAATTGTTGTGCCAGGTTTTGAGTTTCCCAAGGACCGCCAAGGAGCCCATTCTGATGCAAAGCACATGAGGGTCTTTACTGCAAGCTCGAGCCTGGGCTCCCAATATGCAGGCTGAGAGCCCTGAGCTCAGGGAAGGCGGGGTTTTTATTACAGAAGAGGGGAGTTTCAGCTCAGCAGAGGGGAGTTTTATCTCAGCAATACATTGAACAAAGTTATCTTCTTTTAACCTGGTAAGATGTGACCTTCACTACTCGGCCACATATCTAAGGACAGCTGGCGTTTTCCTGATATGTGCTGGTTACTTGCCTACTTGCTAATTGTCTGTTGCTATAGGATGAGCAAGATTAGGACATTTACAGTTAAATTCGGCCTTGGCGCCTTGTTGATAACCGAAACCTAGACCTGGCTGGTTCAGAAGCATTCTGAAGCCTGTCATGGCGTCAGTTTGGTCTTTCAGATTCTAACTGGGAAGTCATTCAGGATTGGGAACAACGTCTTGAAACCCATCTCTGTAGAAGGCAGTTCCTTCAAGTCAGGGCGGATATAGCACTCATCTCAGGTGGAAGAAGGCAGAAGCCTGGTGCGAGCGCCTGACTCAGGCTGACACAGAAGCTCCTCCCACCCTGAAGAAGCTCCTGGAAAGCCGCTGTCTGTGCTAAGGGTCTGTGAGCATGCGGGGACATGGAGCCGACCATTAATAAGATATGGATGGCAGCAAGAGAGAAGCCATAGAAAGGAGACACAGAATCCTGGGGTCTTCAAGTCCTTTGGGGAACTCAGGTGTGGAAATAGTGGTTTCCATAAGGAAATGTGGGTGAGCTGCACAGGTAGCTACCTGACACAGCCTTTTTCTAAGTGAAGGAAGGCAAGGAGCTGTTTCTGCTGGAGGATTCATTTAAATAAAACATCCTTACTAAACACTTGCCCCAAGAAGTTTCTTTAGTACCTGGCATTTTGTTCAAGAAAAGATCCTCATGTGAAAAAGCAAGGCTTGCCTAATGAAAATGCCATGTTGTGTGTTTTTGTTTAGCTGAGAGGAAGACAGTAAGTTTTGCTTGCCTTGAAGCTCCTAATATCATCTCCCACCAGTTCTAGAAATAAGTAAAAATAAATTTGAGTTTTAATGTAAAATGCTAATTACTATCTGTGCTTCAAGATTTCTGTGTTGACAGACCTCTTTAATCTCAGCAGCTTGAGTGATACACATATCATGTCATGATTTAAATATATTTGGTTATGAATAAATTGAAATTAAATTGAAACTTTAATTTAATATATCTTTGTATAGCAGCAACTAATAAGTTGATTTTTTAAGCTTTATATTAATTATCTATGCATACAAGAACTGGGGTGTAGGCAGAGGTGGGGGGGTGACAAGATTCATCAGAGACAGAGTGGGGTTCAGAACAGGGAGACTGACTGAAATACACTGCTGAGGGGAGCAGCAGGTGAGACAGGAGAGGTCTGCTGTGCCATTGGGTCAGCTCCTTGGCCAGGTATTGAACTCAGGCCATAGAGGCTGGCAATAGCTTGATAATGTTGGGACTTAAACCCTGCACCACTAGGGAGGGGCCCTCAAGCAGTAAGCTTTGCCATGGGTTGAATAGTTTTCAAGAACAATAACCATAAAGCAAAAATAAGTGTAAAAACTCTATGTTCAATAAAATCATTTTTTTCCAATGGAAAAACAAAAAAGAAATAAAAGAAACTTACCTTTCCATAACTTGGATTCTTTTTCTTCATATTAAAAGGATTGTACACTTCAGGATCATACAAATCTCCAAATATAATTTCCTTTGGGGAAGAAAATATACTTCAGAGCAAATCATTACATAAACTGTGTTTTCGCAAGATTCAAAAAGAGCCAAATACAGTATTCCATGTTCACATAAACTCATAGACTCAGGGGTCTAGAAGAAGCCCCAGGAGTAACTGAGACTGCAGTGAGATGGGCACCCACTGACCTGCCATCAGCAGTTAGGCCCTCGGCGTCCACTAGCCTAGTTTAGAACAGTCTGCTCTACTGGGCAGGTGCCCCCTTGGTCATCCTGACCTCTAGGAAATTGGTCCTCGACTGAGCTAAAATCTGTTTTGTCACTGCAGGTGCAGGTTGAGTCCCTTCCTCTAAAGAACACAGCTCCATCTCCCCATCACCCACACGCCAGGCTTCTCAGTCCCGAAGGAACACGCCAGAGAGTTCTTTCCTCTTCCCCAGAGAGGTTTTTTCCACTCCTTCTCCTGAGGCATCATTAAGCCTGCACCCTCTTGTAAAGGTTCTGCACTGGTGAGTGTCCCCTCCATCCCTCCATGAATGTCCATCCATGAGCGAGAGGGGAGTGCCACGCTAAGGACAGGTGGGCGGGCAGGGCTTGGGTGCCTCCTAGCCCACAGCCTAGGCACCCAGGTGTTCCTCAGGAGCCACTGCACCTGGTCGACTTACATTGAGCTTACTGTCATCTAAGGTCCCTGAGACTTCATTCAACATGTGGCTTCCCTAGGCCTAGCTTCCCAGCCTAACTTGCGATCCTATTTCTGGGCATAATTGTAAGACTTTGCACTTGGTTTCAGGCATCCTGGCTTTGACCTCAAGTTTTGCTTCCTAGGGTGTATAGAAAGAAGTATCAAGCATCCATCCCCAGAAATGCAGCTCAGTAGATACATTTAAGTGCTTTACCATCCCAATCTCCTCTAGAAATGTAAGTGAGCCTAAATTTCAAAAGAGGGCCCTGACCTCAAAGTTTATATAGAAGCATCTTCAAGAAGTCCACGTGTTCCTGTTTTGTTGAAGCCAACTAAAGAACAGAGTGTAGGAAACAGTCCCTAGCCCTTCCCCCACTTTCTGGCACAGAGAGGGGTAAATCATCCCCTCCTTTTCTGGCCCTGCCTCCAGCTAGGGGGTGGGGGGGTCATCCAGAGATGACCCGTGAAGCCTCAGGGGAATATGATCAGGTGTGTTCCCCTAGAGCCCTGTGGAACTTCTGGGGTGTTCCTGTCTATCTTCTTCCTGTTCAGAACACAGGCCAAACAAGCTGGGTTTTAAGCAACCAGAAACACTTACAAAAATGAGGGTGATGGGGATAAACTGAAAACATGAACGCTGGGAAATAAAGCAATAGGGAAAAGTCTGGGTGATGAATATGCTCAATTTAAAAAAAAAATCAGTACCGTTTTATTTGAGTGCTTTAAAAAATATTCAAAATTTTCTTGTTTCATTTTCCCTATTCCTCTGTATGAAATTACTTTTTCCATAATTCTCTGCTGAAGAGGCTCTGCAACATTTTCAATCCACTTTTTATGTAACATCTCTTTTCTTCTTTCCTTAAAAATATCCAGATGCTGAAAATATGTATCCAATTTCTAATGCAGTGATACAAACAAGGAAAACAAATTATTAGTTTCCACTCGCTATCATTTAAATAAGGGAGGGGGGTACTTTTTGTCACACCTAAACTCTGCAGATTATGTTGCAAACACAGCACACTATAATTAGAGAACAGAATAAAGTTCAGAAAGAGAATCTGAGAGCAAAGAAGAGGAAGAACTCATGAAAAGCTGTAGCCCACATGTGCTTGGGGATTATACCACATCCAAACCATTCCGAACTCCTTACTCTCCTGCTTCTTTGTCCTTCCAAGCATCTCCAGCTCCCCCATGTCATGTTTCTAGACTTTCTTTTCTTTAAAGATTTATTTACACATGCAAGAACTGGGGTACAGGCCAAAGGTGTGGGAGATGAGAGGATTCACCAAAGACATAGTAGGGAACAGAAAAAACAGAGTAATCGAAATACACTGCTGAGGGGGGCAGCAGGCGAGACAGGAGAGGTCGGGCGTGCTATGTGGGTCAGCTCCCTGGCTGGGGATGCAACTCATGCTGCAGTGGCTGGAAATAACTTCATACTGCTGTGTTTTAACCCTTTGTGCCATCAGGGAGGCCCCTGTTTCTAGACTTTCTCACTGGGAAAGTCTGTCACCAAACTAGTAGAGTAGAATGAACTCCAGAGTTACTCCAGCACTGCTCAGTCTGAACCCACAAAGAGAGGTCACCCCTTCTCCTCTCCTGATGCTCAAATAAGAACATCCTTGAATTCCCCTATGAATTATAAACCATGATACAAATGTTAAAACATTATTATAAGCCAAATTTCAACTCCTTTCATTGAAATCAAAACCTCCTTAAATGTATGAACTCCCTACTGACTATCATACTGCTTGGTTGTTACGCTTAAATATTAATTCATTTCTGTTCGCTTTAGGGGTCCCCACTGCAATGTGGAAACATACAAGGCTGAAAATATGGAGGAGGAATTTCTCTTGGGTACCAAAACAAAGAAAACAATTTCTCCTAATCTTAATGTAGAGCTGAGAGCCCTGCCTCTTAGTGAGCCTGCGGAGGTGACACAATCTCAGATCTATGCTGGATAATAAAAAAAAAATTAGAGGCCCTCCCTGGTGGTGCAGCGGGTTAAAGCACAACACTAAGAAGCTTAAGCCACTTCCACATGAGTTCGATTCCCGCCTGCCCCCGAGGAGATCCACATGGTGCGGCAGACCTCTCCTGACCTGCCCGCTGCTCCCCTCAGCAGTATACTTTGTTGATCTGCCTGTTCTGCTCCCCACTCTATCCCTGGTGAATCCTCTCACCCTCCACATCTCTGGCCTGTACCCCAGTTCTGTATGCATAAATAAATAAATCTTTAAAAAAAAATTAGAAAACAAGTGACTCCGAGAAGGCTTATTCTTCCAGCAAAGTCAGTCTCCCTGACACAGAAACAGCCACCTGGCCACTTTGCTCGGCCCCATCTGGCTTTTCTAGAACACGCTGAGAGTCCAATCTGCAGGCGGCTCTTACCTTCACAACATAATTTTCTCTAAATAATATCGCGTGTACAGCTTCATCAATATCTTCTCTAGCTAATTCCTAAAATTACAGAATTAGATATTAGAATGTAAACCCCTGAGGAAACAAATCAGAATGCAAAACTCAGTCTATTTTACCAATAGTTTGAGCATTAATCTAATATCTAGATTTCAAAACATATTTTATGATTTTTTATTATGGGCATTTTCAAACCAATTTCCATGATCCATCACCTAAATCTAACAATTATCAACTCTTGAAATGCATTAAAATTTTAGGTAATAGATAGCTAAATGTGATTAAAAGGTTTCTGTAAGGTTAAAAAAACAATGATCAACTCAGAGTCAACCTCATTTCATCTAAATTCCAACTCCTCCACCCAGATTACTTTGAAACATCTCCCTCACATGATACTATTAAATCATATATTTCAAGTACTAATTAAAGATGCTCCATGAAACAAACACCTCCTTTCAGGCATTCGATAAATACGTGTTAAAGGTTCATATGTTCTGAGCCCTCCCTGGTGGCGCAGCAGGTTAAAGCCCAGCACTAAGAAGCTTAAGCCACTTCTGCACGAGTTCGATTCCTGCCTGCCCCGGAGGAGACCACATGGCACGGCAGACCTCTCCTGACCCGCCCGCTGCTCCCCTCAGCAGTGTACTTCATAGATCTGCCTGCTCTGCTCCCCACTCTGTCGCTGGTGAAGCCTCTCACCCTCTGCATTTCTGGCCTGTACCCCAGTTCTGTATGCACAAACAAATAAATCTTTAAAATAAATAAATAAATAAAAGGTTCATATGTTCTCTGGTTTCTCTTAGACCTCTTTATTTTCTTTTTAAACAAGTAGGCAGGATTTTCTTTTTTCTCTTCTTTTCTTTTCTTTTCTTTTTTTTTAAGATTTATTTATTTATGCATACAGAACTGGCGTATAAGCCAGAGGTGCAGGGGATGAGAGGATTCACCAGAGACAGAGTGGGGAGCAGAACAGGCAGATGGACGAAGTACACTGCTGAGGGGAGCAGCGGGCAGGTCAGGAGAGGTCTGCCACGCCATGTGGTCACCTACGGGCTGGGGATCGAACTCTCACTGAAGCAGCTGCGGCTAGCTTGCAGTGCCACATCCTTACCCATTGCGCCACCAGGAAGGGCCACTGCTAGACCTCTTTAGAAGTCAAAGCCTCCTCATAATTCAAAACTGCAGGAACTACAGAAAGCTGAACTGGTCCAGAATCCCAGCAAGTCAGGCGCCACTCCTGCCTGGAGCCCCGATGGCCACTCCTGGCTGGAGCCCCAAGGGGCCACTCCTGGCTGGAGCCCCAGAGGGCCACTCCTGGCTGGAGCCCCAGAGGGCCACTCCTGCCTGGAGCCCCAATGGCCACTGCTGCCTGGAGCCCCGGGTGCTCCTGGGACCTGCTGTTCAGGTAGAGCCGAAGCACTCCAAGCCTCACTATCACACTTCTTTGGATCATCATGAAATGATCTCCCAGGTTTTACTCTTATAGAACAAAGTAGGAACAAATCAGAAGGCAATAAAAACCCAGTGAGTTGGAAAAGAAATGCCACCACCTACCTATAAAAATGAGCTAGTACAACATGACCTAGGCCTGAAGACTGCATTGTTTGATCTCCGGCTCTTCTTTCAGTTTTGCCACCATAAGGGCATCAAAACCAAAACCCAAACTCAGGTAAATTTGTGAACAAGGGAAATCTCAAAAAATGGAGTCATATCTCCCCGCCTACCTCCCCCCACTGCATGTAACAGCTTCCCACTTACAACCACTTGGGTCTTCTCCAAAATCAATCTCTTGAAAATAGAAATAGAACCTTGCTTAAAACTCTTTCTACTTATGAATAGAAAGATGACAACTGAAAAAGATCATGTGAGACAAATGTTTCCCCCAACACCAAATACATATGGGGGGGGCAGAATCAACCTATTTATTTTTAGTAGAAACATACACTGTGGAAGCATCTTGGAAGATCACATATTTTCATTATCCTACTAACATTATCAGCAAATGTCAGATACCTATGAGACACGGGTCAGATTTCCAAACTGCCTGTTTCGTTTAAGAAAATACAGCTTTTGCTTTGCTTAACTCCTTTGCTTAACAAAGCTTAAGCTTTCGTTTAAGAAAATACAGCTTTTGCAAAAGCAAAGCTTTTGCTTTGATGTCTGCTTCTGTGTGATTGTGTCAGAAAATAGAAGGAATATGTTCATAATTGCTAGCAGCATTTTTGAAAGCCACAACTTTCTGTGCAGAAGTGTCACTACTTACTGCCATGAAGGCAAAAGGAACAAAACAATGTATCCAGGTGCTTTTCTTTACAGTGGGGCAAATTATAGGATTATTTGTAACATCACCACGCAGCCCAACCCAACCCAGCCCAGCCCAGCCCAGCCCAACATTCTTTATGAGAAGATGGTTGCTTCATCAGCCCCTGAAGCCTCACAAATGAGTTGCTGAGCCTGGACTGGGGCACCCAGCCCCGCCTCTGGGTGGTAGCAGGAAGCACTGATCACCCTCCTTCTCCGCGGCCCTGACCCTCCCCTTCAACCGCTTCCTGGAGTCCAGTGCACCCGCAGAGTGCTCCAGCTCCCGGGACCCCACCACGAAGCTGCAGCTCCCGTCCCACGGTCCAAGCGCGCCCCGACACTGCGTTCTTTTACCTCCATTAAATCAACTTCCGTGGGCTCTGGCCATTCTTTCAATCTCTCTGTCCTGAAATGCTCCTCGCGGCTGGGCGTTCTCGGGGCCATGGGTGCCGGCCGCCTGCGGGGAGAGAGGACGTTGGGGTAGACTGGAAGGTGGTGTCTCGAGGTCTCTGCGCGGGCGGGTGGGCAAGAGGCGGTTGGAACCCCACAAAGGGGTGTTGGGGAGAACGCCCACAGACGACGCAGCCCTCAGTGCCCCTGGGCCACATCTCCCCCTCCCCCATTGGCCACTGGACGGACTCCCGGAAGAGGGGAGTCGAGGTCCCCTCCTTGACCGCCCTCGCGAGGCCCTGTGCCATGCATGGGGCTTTAAACCGTCCAATCCAACACTCCCTGGAGTTTTCATATTTTTAAACCATGATGGTGAAGCCGTGGAAAAGTTGTTGTTGAGGACACAGCCTTACAGGGGGCTGCAGCAAGTGAGCAAAACCAAATGCAAATAACTGGGGACTGGCAAAGCTGGTCCTGCTTGTGTCTGCAAGATGGCATGGCGGCCAGGGACGCAAGGACAAAAATGTTGAGAGAGAAGTTTGTTTTTTTAAGCTAGGACATGAGCTTTTCGCTTGAAAGAACAGGTGCCTGACCATGAAAAAGTGACCGATCAATCCCAGACACAGTCCAACTAAGTTATTGACTTTAAAAATAAACAGTCCTTGCAGGAGCCAGGCGAAAAAAGGCCAGGTGTCTTTAAACAGGGAACCTGTGGCGAGGCCTAGAAACAGAGCTGTGAGGGTCAAGAATTCTAATTTCAGGCCCTCTCTGGTGGTGCAACAAATGATGTGCAGCACTATGAAGCTATCAGCAGCCGCTGCAGCATGAGTTCAATCCCCAGCCAGGGAGTGACCCACACGGCG